TGAATACAACATTCTGCCCCACTTTTTTCTTTGACAATGTAAATTTGGAATACTTTATTTCAGCAAAAGAAAAGGAATGCAGTTTCAGAAACAAATCAATTTTTGTTTTTGTTTTTGATACTAAGTCATTTAGGTTCTTTGGTGATACACTTAGAGTGCCTTAGAGGATTTGGGTGGGGAGTATTTTTGTAGCGTTTAGACAAGGGGAGTTAAACGTTCCTGGTTCAGTCCCTTCAGTTGAAACACTCGACACTGGTTGTGGTATAGTATCTTCTGATTTTGGTATGCTATTTCTATCCAAATTCCGTATAGGTCTATCTGAGACTATTGTAACTGCTTCCCTGTCCAGCTTGAGCAAGGTGATGTAGAGAAACTGTGCTTTCTTTTCCATTTGGTAACCTAAAAAATGCATAATTGTAATTTGCCTGAATCAGCTCAACTCCTCGTACAGTAGGTATGTACTTGTTGTTCTGAGTGTAGTTTCTCATGAGCACTTTTCCAGGAATTGTCAGTTACAAAGGAACAGATCTTCTTGGATAAGAAAACACCTGTTCATGATGAGTACAATTTGTGGTTATACACAGTTAGGAACAAATTTAGTAGAGAGCATTACTAAAACGGTTTCCCATTGATGCACAGGTAAACCTCTTGATTTTAAGGCTGAGTTGATTGTTCTCCACAGAAGATGAATGTCTCCACTTGACCATTTCCCCAAGGGCTGTACTGTGAGACTGTGTCACTGGTAAAAGGAAAGGGTTAATTTAGAATATGACCGGCAATAGACGAAATGGGTTAAAAGTATGAATAACATAGAAACTGAAAGATGGAAGAAAAGACAGACCAAGAATAATGACTTTATTGGCTTTGGGAAAAGGCTATTATTGAAGGGCCATCTGGAAAATTTAGACCCACAAGGGCTGGGGAGAAATAGTGAAAATACATTCGAAGTCAGTTGAGAATTTTGGAAACAAAGCAGAAATGGAGAAATTAATTTATGTTCACTTACTAAAGTGCAAGATACGAAAACATGTCTCCTGATTGCCAGAGGGAGGAAGAGGCCAATTGAGATATATTTGGTAATTTTGAAGACAAAGGCAGAATTCAGAAACTGATTTATTTCTGCCTGTCAAAAAGTGGAAATGCAAACCACTCAAGAAATAGGATTATTTGAGATAAGAAGCGAATCTATAAGGTTCATAAGTGCAATTAAATGCATGAGATATGGAGACAAATACTTTCTAATAGCTGTCGCAGAAAACAGCTGGTAAATTTCTGATTACGTAAACAAGACCAAGGGCAGAAAAAAAAATTGTTGTTGAAAATTAAAAAGATAATTGCAATTAATGGCTAAAAGATAAGGCTACTTTTCACCTATGCAATTTAAAAATCAGATTTGTCAAAAAGACAGCTGAGGTGATGGGTTTAGATGAGATACTAAGAGAGAGGGGAATTACCTATGCCCATTTGGAAGTAATGGTGAGAGGCATGAATAAGAGAAGGAATGAGTTTTATGGGCAGGCCAATACTTGCAACCACTACCCATAGGAAGAAGGATCTCTCAAATTTGGAGAGATAATTAATATTACGAACCAAGAACTCTTGTTTAAATCAATACGGAAATCTGGGGAAACCCCAATCCCCAAACACTGTCAGCCCCCACTCTGTTCTTGAATCAAAGTCAATATAAGCAGAGTGCCTATGCAACCCATGCATAAGGGCAGAGAGAGAGAGACAAGACAGAAGCAGATGAAGGTGCTACTGAGATCCACATGACTTGCTACCAAGAGAATTCCTGAAGAATTTGACTTGGGGAACTTGATGATACACACTTTTTAGGTCTAGTTTAGAGTACAGACTGTACTTTGCTATTTCTGAAACCATCATTGTAATCTTATGTATAGGATAGGCATTTTTAAGCTAAAATGCTTTATCATTTGTGAATAATCTGTGACTACCCCCCCCCTTTTTTTTTGTTTTTGTTTTTCATCCTTAGTTACCACTAATTGTGCTCTCCTTGGACATCTACTGGGCTCAGTGATATCTCAATCCAACAGGCTTTTTATTTCCTTCCTTATAAATGCCTCCTCTTCTCTAGAGTATTGTCAGGTTTTCCCAGATATAGGTCTACAGTCAGGCGGCAGATTTTCAAACAGAAGAGGGGGTGAAATCTTCATGCTAGTTAGTCCATGCAGTTTTAGAGGTGGTCACCCTCATATAAAATTTCTATTTTTTGATGTAGGCCTCGAAAATCTTGACCAAGGATCACATCAGCATATAAATTATTCATTAATGATAAATTAATTTTTTTTTTTTTTTTTAAAAAGTTTCTGTACCCATTGTAAGATTCGCTTTACATTTCCCGACAGTTTTCAATAACGAGTCAGAAGAATCCATGCTGACAGCAGAGTTAGTAGGTCTAATGTCCAAACCCATGAACTGAGCTATCTTGGTGTTGATAAAGCTATGACTATTTCCAGAATCTATTAGTGCAGTAAGTGCTTTTTGTTCATGAGTCATTTTACTGTGGTTTTTACATTTTACCGTGATTTTTAAAATGGGTAATGTAGCAGAAAAGCTATTAGTAACAACAGATTTTAACAAAATGACCTTCCTTCTGGCAACTGTAGCAACTTATTCCTCAAGCCAGACACTTACTTCTAGGGTGCCTAGTGCCTCTGCAGAAAAAACAGCTTTTCTTTTCAAAGGGATTTGCTAGCAACAGATGTCCAAGAGTTAAGGTATTAGTTCAGGGTTCTGATATTGAGGTCACTTGATAACTTGTTTGGCTATCAGCAGGCTTCAGAATTTAGGATAGCCCTTTCCTCATTTTACGCTTGATTTCCAGCTTCTGTGAGGGTGAGCATTTTGTTTTCAGGAAGTCTCTGTTGAATAGGAAGTGCGGATAACCCAGAAATAAAAGCATCTCTAATAGTTTCCTCTTTGTAAACTTGAGTGTTAACATCTTTGAATTTAAAGTCCTTCAATAGAATATGCAATGCTTGAGGATATTGATCCAAGGATTCTCCAGCCTGTTGAGTTCTGGTTGCAAGTACATGCCTGGTTTACATCTCATTTTTTTTCTTGGACAAAAGCTCTCTTTAGAATGTTAATAGATTCTTCAAAGTTTGTACCTTCACTGAACAGTTTGTATACATCAGACAATGCATAGTTTTATAACAATATCCAACTCCTCATGTATGCTTAAAGGAGTTTAAAAATGTTCAGTAGCAATATCTAGATCCAGAATTTTAGGTTTTAGTATCCTGTTCATGTTGATATCCAAAGCAAAAAAAAAAAAATAATTAGTACTGAATAGAATGTCATAAACTATAATTAGTTACAAGTATTCACTACTATTTCTCTAGTAGTTTAGTTTTCAAGGCCAGGATTAGTTTTAGCCACCAGCTGTATCCACTTCTATTTATATGGTAGGGATTTGCATATGAATACACCACTCCAGTTGGAAGAACCCCTCCTTGATTGACCTTCACCACTTCTGAGCCATGTGGTGTTGAATTATTGGGTCAGATTGTTATGCCATCTTGTCTTAGGCTACCCTCTAGCTCTTTTAAACTGCCTTGGTGTTCACTCTGTCGTTCTAATAGTTCACCTGTTGTCTTTGAAACAAAAGGTGTGGCCAGCCCATCAATATTTGTCCTTCTTGATGGTCTTCATTATTTCCTTCACTCCAGTTGGCTGTTGAATTCAGTATACAAATAATATCTGATAATAATTCAATAGATTTATCAGACCCTCTGAACCTGACAAGCATTGTGATGCAAAAATCTGGAGTTGAACAATGAGATAAGTCCAACTGAACATTTACTAATCAATTGAAATATATATATATATATATATATATATATATATATATATATATATATATATATATATATATATATATATATATATATATATATATATATATATATATATAATATGGAATCTGATGAATTGGAATGTAATAAATTATAAACATGGAATATTAGTGTTTGAGCCTTTTATACTATATTCTTACTCTGTATATACATTGAGTTCTACCTGATTCTATCCTTTTATAATATATATATATATATATACCACACATATTTTTATATATATATATATATATATATATATATATATATATTATTGACTACTATTATTTTATATATATATATATATATATATATATATATATATATATATATATTAAATATATTATTATTTATATATATATATATATATATATATATATTGACCACTGTATTATTGCACTGTAGACATTGGGTTTGATGTACTCCAGCATTTGAATTGTTTTTTATTTTATTTTTCATCCTGATTATATCTCCAATAGTTTTAGAGGTGGTTGTAACAATCCTCATATTAGGGATGACTAATTCATTTGTGAATTTAGTTGCAGTGTTGGAGGGTAGGTTTATGAATTTTGTACAATTTTTGTTGAGTATTTGTTTGTTTAGGTTTATGGATTTTGTAAGCTCTTTTTTGTGTTTAAGATGAAATGGTATGGGTAGTGTAGGAGTTTGAATGTGTTTTCAATATAATCTTCTTCTTCACTAATGTATTCAGGGCTACATATCCTAAGGGTTCTCGGGTAAAATCTTATAATTATTCCAGATTTTATTCTCCGGTTGTGGTGGAAATAAAAGTTTACAAGGTCATTTTTGTTAGTGGGTGTACAGTAAATATATATAACCTTAAAATGTATAAAATTGTACTTGATAGTAATTAATCTTTAGCACTCTGCATCATTAATATTACTTTCTTTTTCAAGGCCTCTCAATTGCTGTATCCTTATTGTTAATTTCACTCAAAGTTGTTTTGTGTTGCCTTAGCAGGATATAACAACAAAACTTTGAGATTCCAACACAGGGATCAGAGTCACCTTCTGTTACAGAATAAACTTTTTGTACAGCAACTGAAATCACAGTGATAAAGGTTAATATAGATAGGATGACATTAAGACTATTCATATAAGACTTAGGTATTTCGCTCTGGCTTATGGCCACATCGCAGTGAAACTCCAGTTCTTGTATGAGCATCGATGTTAAGCAATGTCAAGCCTGGTCAGTACCTAGATGGGTGACTGTTTGGGAATAGTAAGTGCTGCAAGCTTGGATGTTCATGTGGTGCAATGGATAATGGCTCAGGATTGTTAATCAGAGAGCCGAGTTCCAATTCCAGTTGTATTCGTTATTCACTTATGCACAGATACCTGTGGAATAGGTATGAATCCACCTCTTCTCCCCCAGATATGGGTTAATTAGTAAGACTTGTATCCCTTAACCATTATTATCTTCTCAAAAAATTTTTTATACCCTAAAAATAATTTCTGGCTTTAAATAGCCTGCAAAGGGTTGATAAGCTGTAACAAAAAAATAATGAATCCGTATATTTAGTTCCAGATTAAATAACTAAAAAATGAGTGACTGTCTTTGACTTGGAATGACCCAGGAATGGTTGAAATATTGTTAAATCTATTAACTTATTCTAACCTTATACAGTCATTTGTAACGGGAGTCGAATTTTCAAATGACCTTTACACAGTTTATTTACTGTTTCTAGTTGTCTTTCATCTATCAAACCTTCTTCCTTGACATAAGCTTGATGTAAGGTGAAGCATGATTTGGTTATTTAATATGTTTGAAACCAGAAATGGATTCTTCTTTTTTTTGTGTACTTTTTTATTACCTTGCTAATTTGGCATTGTGAAGGGCTTGGGTTGTGAACATTTTAACAGAGAAGATAGGAGCTATATAAAAACAACTGACATAAAGCTTTAGTGCATTACTATAGAAGTTCTAAAGAGAAAATAAGTGCTTTCCAAAAGCTAAGCTAAGTATTAAGAAACAGGAAAATTGTTAGAAACAAAGAAAAGATGCTGAACTTCTATGTAATATCAGTCCTCCTATTTATCTTTATCATCACATTTTGACATTTTGTACCCTCTAACCTTCTTTAGGTGTTTCATTGATCCAGTTAACATCCAGGGAATTTTGGACTGAACCTTCTAGCTAATCTACCTTCTTAGCCCTAACCCACTTCCCAAAATCAGTGTTTTGATGTTGGATCATTTAAACACTGATCTTGGGAAGTTGTTTGGGCAGAGAACTTTCAGCTTTCACCGAAAACAATCGCAGTAATGAAAACTTGAGAATCCCAAATTTCAGGATTGCCGGTCCAGATATGGCCCAGAGTATTTTTAATTTGCTCCCGATTCCAAAATGGTATGATATGTTGGGCTACGGCCTCTAGAAGTAAAGTTGAAAAAGTGGGACACTATGACACATCGCCATTTGCATTTATTATATATAATTAAATGAATGACAAGAGGATAACTTATTTTTGCAACATGTTTTGTTTCTTGAGAACTTAATCAAGGAAACTATATTTATTTTGATGAAATTCCTCAAGGAGTGATGCACATTGCAAAAACAAGTTTTCCTCTAGTCATTCATTTTATTAATGCTCTTTACAGATATATTTATTTATATCTTAATTTTTATGCCCCCCCCCTCACACACACATTAAAATAACACTTTTGCCTATAATTTTGATGTTAAAAGCTCATTTCATTTGAACTGGAAAATTGCTTTTTGGTTATTTGATATTTCACTTAGAAAAGAAAAAAAAAACACATTATGATGTCAGAGTTTTTTATTTTATTTTATTTTTTCATATTTTTTTTTTTTAATATGTAAAACCGTTTACATATTAACTTAAATTGAAAAAAAAAATCTGTATTTCACAAGTTAGAAATTTTCCTGTTGCAATCTGATTTTTAAATCTGGCAAAGATAGTGTACTATGGAAAATTCCATAAAACTGGACTGTTTTTCTGTTTAATCGTAACTTCATAACCTTAGCAGAAAGCAATAAATACAGACAACATTGGCCTCATTTTTCTCTCATCTCTTTTCTTTAATTTTTTTTTTTAATCACAGCATTTTCATTATTATTTCATTGCACGGATGATTTGTTTTCTTCATTTATTATTATTGTTATTATTAATATTGTAGGTCTAATTGTATTTTTATTGGTGTACAAACTTCTATAAATAAGCTCTCATTGTTACCCTTCTATATGGAACATAAGAATTTCATCTGGAATTATAAATGTGGATTTTTCAAATCTAGCTTGAACTTTGTCTGGGAAATTAGTACTATCCCATCATCCTTCTAACAAGGCTATGATATGGTACACTGATTTTCAAAGCAAGCCAGTGTTCCTTTTTGGAAGATAGACACAGTGGAGTAATGGATAGCGGCTCTGATTGAGGAATCTGAGATCTGAGTTCAAATTCCAGTCGAATCCATTACATTCACTTACAAGCTAATACACTTGGGAAAGGTATAAATCCTCATCTTCTCCCCACAGCTATGGGTAAATAGCAGGACAGACCGGGTTCTATAACCTTGGATGGCAACTGGTCTACCGCAGAAAGAAATAGCAACCTACTGCGGGAAAAATCTGCCTCGTCAGTCATGTATCGAAAGATACATGATTGCCTACGCATGTATCATGCATGGCACTTAACTGGTGCAACACATTCATCCTCCTCTCAATGCTAGGATGTTGTATGGTAATAGTGGCCGTTTCCCTATAAGGAAACATTTGGTACTCATTGACTGAGCAGCCAGTACTGCTTTTGGTTGAAATTTTTAAATTCTTTCTCTTAAAGTAATTTATCAGGAAAATAAATTTCTCAAGTCCATTAACTGTTATTGCTCTTTCCAGTGTTGATGAGATGGGTGGGTGTCTAGTTCCTTCCTAACCTTTTGTTTGAAGTAGTGTGGAATGTCAACGTTTTGACTATATCATTATTTTCTCTTTGAGTTGCATGTGATATCCATCTTAGTTGTTGCTAACCCACAAGTGTATATTGATTCTCAATGCAGGCTAACTCTACCTTTTCGAGAGATTGGTGATTCACATTCAGACTTCTCATAATTCTAAAATGTTATACACTGATTTTCACACCAGGTTTTTTTTTTTCAGAAATTTGTACTAAATAATTATCTACCTCATCATGCTAGGTCATGCTATACCAATTTTCAAATGTGATCAGGTTTACAGCCATATCATGTTGAAGCAACAGTTCCCATATGATCACCAAAGTTAAGCAATGGTGATCCTGGTCAGTACCTAGATTGCTGACAGCTTGGGAATACTAGGTGTTGTAAGTGCAGATGTGTGGGTAGTGTAATGGATAACAGCTTGGAATTGGAAGTTGTAAAGCTAAGTTTCAATTTCAAAGCCGAGTTCGTTATATTCACTTAGGCGCAAATACACCTCTTTTCTTTCTTTTGCTTTTCATTCTCTTTCTTTCCTCTCATTCTTTTCTTTCTTTCATTTTTATTTTCTTCATTTTCTTTTCTTTTTCTTCTTTCTTTTCTTTTTCTTCTTTCTTTTCTTTTTCTTTTTTCTTTTCTTTTTCTTTTCTTTTCTTTTTCTTCTTTCTTTTTCGTTCTTCTTTCTTTTTTTCTTTTTCTTCTTTCTCTCCCTTTCTTTCATAACTGCCAGCACCCTTCTCAGTATCCTAAAGAGATTATTGCCTTAAATACCATTATGTGTCTCAGAGGCAATATCCAACATGCCACTAAACATACATGTGTCTTATGTTGGAGTAAACACATTAAGGTGCTTCTCAGGTAATAAATTATATATTTAATTGTTCACTGTCAACTACCTTGTGGTTGGGAGCAAATTTAATCAACCCCACCCCCTTCATTGCCTACACTTAAACTATAAGAAGCACATTATTATCAAAATCTATAATTTCATTTAGTAGGGGTCAAAAGAAAACCACCTGTCACTGCTTGGGAAATTGTAATGAAGTGTCCATTAATGTACAAATACCTTGGAGAAGAAATAAATTGACTAAAGTTGGTGATAGTATATACTTAGGGGTCTTTTTTTTGTAATTAAGGTCAGGAAGTTTGTGAGTGCTGCAATGGAGATAGTAGCCATCTTATCTCCAACCTACTTTTAATCTATGAAAAACAAAAACTTCAAAAGTCGTTATCACTAAAATACTGGTATCATACAGACAAAAACAGATGAAGAAGTAGTTGAGAGAGTGGGAGGGTAAGGGGATTATTACTTATCATCATAAGCTCATTCTCATTTTAAAACAAGTACTTTTCATGGTATGTTAAAAGTATTTTCATTTTTATCAGCTCTTCATTTTTTTGTTTAGCTTATATATGTATATGGTATGGTCACTCATATCTGAGGATGTCATTCTACTACAGTGGCTAGGTAGCTAATCCTCATTGCAGACGCCTGCTCAGGCACATTTTGTGTTTGTTCAACACCCACAGAACCCAAGGCCAGCATGCTCAAACCCTCAATCATGATGACTTGTGACTTTGTGCTAGCACAACTATCGACGGCTACCAAGGGTTCCATCTACCCAATTTCACTCACAAGGCTTGGGTCAACCCATTGATTGGTTTTCAGTTACTTTCCAAAGGTGCCGCATGCTGGGATTGCCTCCTCCAAAGCAATAACATCAAGAAGTCACCTTCCTGATAAATCAACTATGGTGAGATTCAAATCCAGATCTCATAGACAGAAAGCAAATGTTCTAACCACTTGGTCATGCACCCAGCTTATATAATACACCAAATACAGTAGCTTTCAATGTTTTTCCCTTCTGAAAGTTTTTAAGTAAAGGTCATTAGCTTCTCTTTTACCTTGTGTTTTTAAATCATCATAATCAGCAATTGTTGGTCATTCACTTCTGGGATTAATTTCAAGGAACAAATCACTATTTTTAAAACACTTAAACTAGTTTTGGGTAGTATAGTCAGATATTGTTTCATTTTCTTCAACTTCCTAAATTCTGTAAGCAGTTTCAGGAGATTTATGGTTCACTTTAAAATAATGCTTCAAAAAAGCCAAAATATCTATCCACTTGTATCCACCATTATGACATCTGAAATAAAATATACAGCTGAATGGGTAAAAATAAGAAAAAAAATACTTTTAATACACTCTAAAATATAATCATCATATGAATATAAAACAGGACCTTACCAAGAAAACTTGTATTTAAAGGCTAAAATTTTTCTTGTAAATGTTGGAGTGCATGGAACTTTGTCAAAAACATAAGAACTGAGATTGGATAAATTGGAAATTCTTATAAGAACTGAGACAGTCTGTACCATGGCTGAAGAAGTTTTCAGATTTATTTTGAAAATTAGCAGCAGTAACAATTTCAGACAAATTATATACCCATCTCAGTAGCATTATTATGAGCCAAAAAGATAAACTTAGTCTTCTGTTTAGTTTTTGTTAAACATGGTGGGATTGAAGACCCCCAGCTCTCTTCTTATAGCATGGTGGATATTTCAGAATATTGCTGAAAAAAAATTGTGTGCTGTTGTCCTAACTTTAAAATTTAAAAAAAAAAAAAAATGACTGCTTTAGCGAAAATTCAAATTGTTTTTTTCTTTTTGTTTCTTTTTCTTAAAATTTTTCTTTAGTAACACTTATGTCATTCATCCGACTCCAGTTAAGTATTGCGACCAGTCAATCCTGAAGTACCTCCACATATCAAGGTCTTCTGTTAGTATAATTAGTGAGATTTCATCCATTACCAGCTTGCTATGCCTATTGCATATCTGGTATTTCCCAGTGATTACCCATTTGGGCACTGACCAGATTCGGAGTTGTTTAACTTTGATGATCAGACGAGAATCAGTGTTTCTATGTGATATGATTGTAAGCTCTTGTAACAAAAAAAAAAAAAAAGATCTTTCAGTAAAATCTATGAACCTTCTCCTCCCAACTAAAAAAAAAAAAAAAAATTGATCTTTTTAAAAGTAGTAGTTAAAGGAATACCTTCATGCTTGATGGCAATATATAAATTTATCATGTGTCAGTGACATTTCAAAAGGTGCCCATATGCTTTGAAACAGGTACCAAATATTTTTGCTTGTATTTCTGGGATGATTTGGTCTGGTTTGCTTTATTTTGTTTTATGGCATATCAACCTCAATCAGTTATTTAATGCTATCAAGATCTTTAGTGTAGGTTCCTATTTATAGAATATGTATTCTTTTTTTTAAAAAACATCAGTTTGAAGATTTCCATTTATGAATTTTTGTAAAGAGGGTATTTGGCAAGAGTCAAATATATTGCTGGTAATATTTTTTTTTCAAAAATGTACTGCTGGTATTTTTACTTTAAAAATACTATTTTTATACTTTCATAATGTTTTGAGCCCAGTTTGGGGGTTAACTATTTGCCCATAACTAAGACCCCAACAGGTGCTACCACCCCAGGTCAGGGTGGACCCAGGAACACCAGCAATTCCACGCTCCTCAAAACCTCCTGATCAGAAGCCCTGCTGCCTGATGTAGTTTATTGTCATACCCAGGACAATTTCTGGGATGAGAAGTTATCATTATTTACACTATTTATATTTGGACTATTGTCCTCATCATTGTTGACTGGGGTAGACTTTTGTCATCCCACTGAGCAGTGGAACGAGGGCAGTCTACCCTCTACTCTGTAGATTAAATAAAGGGTTCAGTTCAGAATTCTCTGTATCAGCTGAGAAAGGCTAGGTAGCGCAATGGCTGAAAAGTTGTGATAACAACAACAACAATGATGAGGACAATAGTCTGAAATATAAATTGTGTAAATAAGTTACTTAGTATAATATATAAATAAAATTGTTCTCGCGCTTTGATATTTTTTTCCCTTATATACTCTAATACTCAGTAACGACTTGCATCTTAGTGGCTTTATTGTCTTGCTTGTGGTGAAAGGATTTAAAAAAAAATGTTTGTTTTCATCATGGCACTGCTGGGATCTGTAAGAATATTGGGAAATGTATGGGGGAATTTGAGTAGTTTTGTTTTTACTCCATCTCCAGAGATAATCTGGGATGAACCCTGCAAATTTATGAAAGATAATTGCAGTAACTATAATATATATATATATATATATATATATATATATATATATATATATATATATATATTCCTGCTTATCACTTAATATAGTATATATGATTCATGCTAGGAAATAGGAAATAGCAGATGAACTGAACTGTTCTAGAAGGAGCTGACCCCAATATGGATTGGGTTCTCCCTAGATGATACTAAAATAACCTTTGCACTCAGCATTACACCAGAACATTAGAGAAGCCAGGTGCATCAGCAGGCTGACTTGGAAGGTGACCTCTTAGCTACCAGATGCAAATTTACACCTTCACTGATTGTCATTAGCTGCTCCAATTTTCACCATATAAACAGCTGGTTGACCCAAATGTAACCTAATTTCTCAAGTCAGATTTTTGTAAATCTGTATTTTTTAATTTAAATGTTGGTATTTACCTACCCATGTCTTTCACGGTGACAGAATGTGATATATAGTTGGTTTAACATGGGGTGCTCTTATGTACACATATGGGTAAGGATAAAAATTTCCCAGGCTTTGGTCTTATCCATGACCCTTCTTTTTCTAGTGCAGTGAGGGAGGAGCTTTATGAAAGTTGGAATCTTCAGTGCCAGGCTTCCCTCATTACAAAATAATGCAGAGGACAGAGGAAAACAGATACTATTCTTTGATTTCAGTTCAAATGTTGAGTAAGGTGTGGTACTGTTTTTCATTTTAATTTTTTATGTCCATATCACTTCTGGATGTATGTAATCATAGCTCTCCACAGCCACCTTTTTCTTTTATATCTCTGAATTTCCATAAACTGTTCTTGGAAAAGGTAGTAAAGATGTTTTCAATTGCCTTCTCCATGGTTTTCAAGTTTCCAAGACTGGTTGTACTATCAAGGTAAGAAAGCCAAGTTCACTCGATTTTTTTTTTTTTTTTTTTTTTTTTTTTAATCCACAGATAGGACCCCCACCCAATACACACCTATCTAGACATTCTAGGAGGGCCTGAAGAATCTGATACTTGTGGATCGAATAGACGGAAAGAGAGACAAGAGAAAACACCATGTGACATACCTGGCGGGCTTGGGCAGGTGGATGACAGAACGTGGTCTGAGGGAGGGAAGCAGAGGGAATTAACTTGTTGAAAGCTGCAAGGGCTAGAGGGAGGTGGAGAGCCATGATCACCTACATCCTGAAAGGACATAGCACATAAAAAGAAAGAAAGATAGAATTGAGTTTTGTGCAGTTTGGTGCATCTCTCTCCTATAATAACTATGGCGATTTTCTAAGCATAGCTTAGATGTGGCACTAGGCCAAAAGTATGGTGCACCCAGTGAGGATCAAACTCACTACTCAGTTGTTAGTGTTCTAACGTGACAAACCTGCAAACCATTAAATCATACAAAGATGCCCCTTCAATAATAATTATTTGGAGGTGTTGAAAATAAACTCTCCCCCAGGTGTGACTGGATCAGCATACTATCAACATCGATTTTTTTTTTTTTTTTTTTTTAATCATTTCAACTTGAGCAAGGGGATACTGAAAGTAAATGAAACTGAGAAAATATTGCTGAGGAGAAAAGACGATAAAAAGAACAGGAGATGATTGATGTTGCATTTAAATTTTTGAG